TAAGTGTTTTATACTCATTCCCCATCCCTGATTGGAAGCATTCTGTCAAAGTCTTGGTTAGTAATTGGTGAAAGTGCATCTTCTCATCAGTTTAACCGGACAGTTTGACATATACATGAGATCCTTGCTTAGCATATACAATATTTTTTAAACAATCTTTGCATTGCACCTAGATTTAGTCTGGCAAACTTAAGGATGAACCAGGATCAGGATATACCAGATCAATCCTTTGGTCAAGGAAGGTGCGCAGGGGCCTATTTCTAAAACATGCTAAGTTTCTACATGCTAAGTTTTTTTAATTTAGAACAGTAATATTCAGCATGAGCATATTTATGCTGAAAGAGCTTAATTCTCATACAGGTACTATGTGTCCTATTAATTAAGAAGAAAATGCAGTTCTACTCACCTACAACATATAAGCAACCGCGGAGTTCACTAACCCCATTACCAGCTCTTCGTTGGCCCATCTCCTTCACTTCTATCCATTTATCCAGATGGGGGTCATATTTCTCAACACTGGAAAGAGAGGCTACACCATCATTGCCACCAACAGCATACACATAATTCTGAAATAAAAATTTGGCAGGGAATAGACATCCACAGATATCACAGCTTTTTGTATGGAATGCCAAAGTACTTTGAGAGCAAAACTCAATGTCTTGTTCCATTGTCCTGATCCTTTTCAATAAATAAACCTCACAACTGATGGCAATAGTTTTGATTCTACAACGCTTTACACCTTGTGCCACTCACACTGGTACAAAGTGCTACCCTCCCAGCTGAGAACTGAAAAATTCTGTTTGTTTAGGGTAAGTAATTCCACCACTTTGCAGAGATGCACATAGCGGCAGAATGTTAAATAAAATACCTATGACAAATCTGACTCATGTAAATGAGATCCAGAACCCTGACTTTTTTCTCTCCTCTTTTTCTCTAATTATAACCCCAAATACATCGCTAAAATTCTTTCAGTGGGCCAACTTTTTGATCATAGGATCAAAAGAGTAGTTTGAATGCTGTGGTCACATACAGGCCCACACCTATTTGGTTAGAATGCCAGTGTTAACACCTTGAAGTTCTGGGGATTTAAAGGCCACAAATGGTCAAAGCCTCAATTATAAATATTATTTGGAAAATGGTCCCAGAAGTAATTCTGTGCCTCCTCACAACATGGCTTGACTTCAGTACTGGACTCAGGGAAGCATTAACTTACCACAAGAGCCACAGAGCCAACTCCTCCTCTGGGTGTATTCATTGATGCTACTCCACTCCATCGATCAGATTCAATGTCATATCTCTCCACATCACCGAAGCAAGTGTTGTCATCTAACCCTCCTATTGCATAAATGGGGCCACCAAGGGAAGCTAGAGCAATTCCTCTCCTAATAAAATCACAGCATCAACACTTGAGTGTGTATCCTTGAAGGCAGTGGCAAAGACAGTTTAGATCTGATGCAACTTTATCTCATTGGCAACTGTTTCAAAATATGGAAAAATAAAATGCAATGAAAAACAAAAAGCAGCAAAATAAATCAAGAAATGTAGCTAACCAGTAACTAGCAATGTCATTGTTTGTGGAATAGCTACTTCATAGCCAGCCTGGCTCGTTTTCCATGTTCCAACTCTACTGGGAGAATCCTATAATACCAACCAATAGTACAGGGCTCTGCAATCAGAGTCCTACAATGAACAAACAGGTGTTGCTTTAAGAGCACCTTGATTTGCTAGCTAATTACAGCAGATAGCTACACTATTAATCACGTGACTCAAAAGACAAAGAAAAAGCTGTAAGAGGCAAAACTACTTTGTATTTGATTCACTGGAAAGAAGACTGCATTGAAAAATTGATATAGACACTGGACTCCATGCTGGTCACATGGGGCTTAAATGTTACTTTACTGAATTCTTTGCAAAGGTGTATTATTAATATTCTAAATATCTGGATTTCTCTAAAGCAACTTGAAACCTTCATACACCAGACACTATATTCAGTTTTCTTTCTAGAAAAAACAACATATTTTTGCTTTTATTTAATCTTTCCCAGTATGAAAGTACAACCTTCAAATCACTGGTTAAAATGCTGCTATGGGTATAGGAATGACATGCTTTAAAGTATTCCTCACTTTATATGCAACTCCTTAGTAGGTCAAATCCAATAACGGAGACCTGCAATTTCAATGCAAGAGCAGGAAGAAAAACAGAAAAACTCAATAAAAATAAGTTTAAAAATTCCCACTGGATTGGATCTAAAATAGGCAGTTTAGCCTAATTTAAACTTGTCAATTTTTTAAATCTCTTATTAAGTTAACCCAGTAAGAGGGCTTAGTAGTCATTTAGGCATTTAAGCCATTTCTGCAAAGTTACACAAACTTCAGAGGAAGGAAGAAGACTCCTATCCTACTTATTCTATGGTCTCCCAGTTCAGGCACTCTCCTGGGAGCCCAGAGATATGGATTTGAAACCCCACAGATTGAGGAATGGATCAAAGGCAGGTCTCCCACTTCCTTCAATGAGTGCCTTGATCAACAGGCTGTCAAGTAAAAGAAGGCAATACAACTTGTCTTCAAGGAACAATGGTCACAAACTGACAGAGAGCAGATTTAGGCTAGATATCAGGAAAAAACTTCTTCACAGTAAGTGAAGCAGCCAAAATTTGGAATGGGCTTCCAAGGGAGGTGGTGCTCTCCCCTACCTTCAGGGTCTTTAAGAGAAGGCTGGGTAGGCATCTGGCTCAGGTCATCTGACCCCAGGACTTATTCCTGCCTAGGCAGGGGTTTGGACTTGATGATCTGTTGAGGTCCCTTCTGACCCTAGCATCTATGAATCTATGAACTTCTCCTCCAGTTCTTGTAACCCAGTCATATGTACCTAAAGCAGGGGTGGGCAAAGTCCGGCCTGAAGGCCAAATCTGGCCTGCGAGGCCGTTCTATCCATCCCGCGGGGCCCCTAAAAAATGTAGAAAATTAATATTTCTCTGCCCTTGGTTCCTGCCAAAAACAACAGGAATCAAGGGCAGTAGAACCCAGGGGAAGCCCGGTGGGCTTCAACAACAGCGGGGCCACCTGGCCCTGCCCCTGCAGCTAGAAGCCCCAGCCCAGACTTCTGGCCTGGGAGCACGTGGCTGCCCTGCGCCAGAACTGCAGGTAAGTGGGGCGGGGGGGAGAAGGCAGGGGGACCCCAGGCAGGGAAGGAGTGTGGGTGGAAGTGGCCCCTTCCCTGCCCCATGGCCGGCACCCCGTGCTGCAGCTGCTCAGAGCCCACATGGGGCTGTCTGTGCCTGCTACGGACAGGTCCGTGTGGGCTGCGAGCGCCTGCAGCAGGGAACGCTGGCCACAGGGCCAACTGCAAGCAGTTGCAGCATGGGGCACCGGGCGTGGGGGGGGCTGCTTTCCCCCGCCCCCCCCTTGTAACCCGGCCCCACTGCCAGGCTGGCAGCAGGGTGGGTTACAAGCTGGTGCTGGGCGCAGGGAGAGAAGGCCGTCACTCACCC